TGAATCTCCCGCCCCGGACACACAAGCACGCGGTGTAATTGGCTAGAGCTTGTACTGGCATATGATTTGATTGGCTGGCGCTTCCGTCAAAGCTTCAAAAGTAGAACATTGCTCTACTTTTGAAGCGAGCAACGCGAGCAAAGCTACCACAATGCAGTTTGGTGAAGCGTGACCTCACCCCATTCAAAGTAAATGGGCAAAAGCGTTGAAGCTTCAACGCACGCCGCCGTGTGGACGTGCCGTTACCGTAGTGAAACCTGACAAATGCATGTCACATGTAAATGTTCAGTTATATTTACTTAACCATGAGGACCCAGCGTGACACAGGTGTCACATGACATTTAAATGTTCTGGAAAGTTCATTATACAGCTTTAGCCTCATGAAGTCCCTAAGTGACACACCCTGAACAGTCTGGTAGCTCATGGGCTAGGTCATGTGATGTTATGTTCCCAAAACAGCATGTCCAAGATTTCCATGTGCCAGGCTAACACATGTGACAGAACTAGCTACATTTCAAAAGCTTTTTTTGTTGTTGCGTAAGGTAAAATTCAAGCCATTTAAGAATTAAAATACTTACATGACATGTCCTTTATTACATTTGTGGAAACATTTATTGATCAAATTGATATGAAACAAATGAGACTGATGTCACATCGGGACTTTAACCCTAAACTTTCACAGTAAACCCGGAGTGACACATATGTCACAATTAGAAATATNACCAGAGGATGGTCTGGTGGTTCCTCGGTTATCGCTCCTCCATTATCGCTCCTCGCTCCTCTGGCACCAATAAGGCCACTGGGACGCTACTCAAGATGGCGCAGACAAATCAACTTCCGGTGAGACCAAGGCCGAGGAGCGAGGAAATGAAAAATAACCGAAGTGAGACGCAGCCAAGGAATCAGATTTTCTCCTGTTAACGTGGAGACACATCTGATTTGAAAGACAACTGGAAAGGGTTAGACAGATAAGAGGGAAATGACTGGATGCATTCGAGGTCATTGTAAGCAAATAACTATTATTCACGGCACTTGAATTATTACACTGAAATTAATTAACTGTTGGTCTATGAAATGTCTGAAAATACTGATGAATGTAAATCCCAAAGCCAAGTTAATGTCTTTAAATGCATTGATTTGTAAGTCCAAGACCCAAAGAAATTAACTTTAAAATGATATGATAGAGAGAAAAGAACATCTCTATGTTTTATAGCCTGAAAATAGCATTTTCTGCCATATCTGCATTACAAATGACGCTAACAAATAGTGATCAACACAATTGACAAAGTATTTCTGCCGATCAACTTATTGATAGTCAACTAATCATTGCTGCTCTCTCCATGGCAACATTTTTACTTTATTTACATCCCCAAAGCCCCCATATTATGGGAACTGTACAGTATCTACAACTACAGTTCAGTACAGTACAGTAACATCAAACTAAAGTGTTACAAAAAATACAATTTAAATGTGTTCTGTGATCAGATTGTGATGTGAGGTGGTTCATCATAAACCAGCTAGGTCCAATTTATAAACCTCCTCATGCAAACAGTGAGAACAGGATGCATGCATGTAGAATCCAGACAGACAATAAACAAAAGCACCAAAGAAATACACAATTGAACAGAGGAAGCTGAAAACACAAGCAGGTACCTTCTGGTGACTGGGCGACTCCATCAAATGTTGCTTCATCTTCAGCTCCTTCTCCAGGATCTCCCTCATCTTGATGTTCACCTGCAGCCACAAACACACTGTAGATCAGCACAGATAAAGAAAGCACAGATCCAACTCGTTAGAAACCAGCTCTGCTCTCACCTTGTTGATCCAGAACAACACGGCGTCCTCCAGGTCGAACGGCAGCTCCTTGGAGGCACTGACGTTGGAGAAGCGTCTGACACTGGACACCACCTTCTCCACGCTGATCATCTCCAGGATGTAGGCCATCATCAGGGCATCGATGAGGTGGATGTGGGAGCTCTGGAAGAATGACCATCACAAGAATTATACTGCATGTAAATATGAGTAAATACTAAAGCTGTGCCAAACACTTGCAGCTTCATCCATACTGTTACATTTTTTCATTCTTGAACAAAATGTAAATGCTGCATGGCTTTTTTGGCAAGTCTATTCTGTTTTAAGCTGGTGCTTTTGTACACTGTTTCAATATTATTAGTATTATACTATTTGTAGGGGTAGATTGCAGTATTGCTGTGCATTATTGTTTACACATTTTGTATAACTCCAGAACATTGTTAAGTCCAAAAGTCAAAAGTCTTTGAAGATAATGTGATCACTTTCCAAATAAAAAATTGAATTAATGTTTTTATCTGAAAAATAATGCTTATTCATATTCTGCTTCAAACTAAATTGTAAACAGTTTCTTTTTTATTGCAGAGGGCGGTCAGCAGAAATCTATCTCCATAAATCACATTCATATATGGCAATACAAAACTTAATATATACTGGAATGGCTGTACTGTTCAAGGTTTTCCTTTATTTCACTGTAATAATCTCATAGAATATTACAAAACTGCTTTAGAGAACCTCAATCCTAGCCTCGAATACAAATGAAATAAAGCAAAGTCACTGTAGCTTGTTGCCAGACAGAAAGGATGCGCCCTCATTTACATTACAGGAAACATTTTTCAGATTTTGAACGATCTAATGATTCTTTAAGCATTATGAATCGAGGAGGAGTGGAGCAGGCTGTAACTCAACATCCACATACTATCATTTCAAGTTGTTTTATGGTAAATGTTTAGGCACACAGTACGTCAGGAGTTGTGTATCTGATCACCTAATAAATGCCAATGTGTACTCTTTTTTAGTTTTGTTCCAGCCTACTCTTACTCTTGAAGGAATTAGCTTACTATTTTAATTATTCACTATGTTCAAAAAGGTATGCATTACAGCATGCAGACCACAAGAGCATATTTTTATATTTTCACAGGAAACTACATAACAAATCCTGAATAGGCCTTCTGCCTCCAGACTGTTATGTAATTAGATTTTCATTTAGTTTTACTTATAAAACAAACTGTGAGATGTGGTTTTTTAGTCAATATATTAATTTATATTAATGGTGGTGGTTAAAGCAAAGCTAGCTTAATAAATAGCTAACCTTAGTCGAATTAATGCTAATATTGGCTGTATTTATCAAGCAAAAACTTTGTGTGATTGTGTGTGATTTTGAGCATGATAACCAACAAACAGCATACAGCGAGCAGCAGTCACTGAGGGATCACTCTTTTACTCGCTTCCAAAACAAATGCAGGTCTTAGCAAAATCAAAACCTCACAACACAAAGTGACAGGGAAAATCACAAAATGAAAGCTCCTTCTTCAGGGGTCTCCAAATAACGGCCCAGGGGCCAAATGTGGCACTGGGTAAATGTTTATCAATCAATCAATCAATCACATTTATTTATAAAGCACATTTAAAAACAACCCATGTTGACCAAAGTGCTGTACAGAACAGAGCAGGTAGCTGACACGACCTTAAGATAAATAGATAAGTAAGTCAAAACAAAAAAGGAACAACGACATAAACAGACATACAGAAAGGTCATATGCACAACAAACATAGTTCCAGGTACAACCAGCCAGATATGGAGGAGTCAAACGCTAGAGAGTCAAAGTGTGTTTTTAACCTGGATTTAAAACAATCAATGGAGGGGGCCGGTCTGATAGGGAGGAGGATGCTGTTCCACAGTCTTGGGGCTGCAATAGAAAAGACTCGGTCACCCCTGAGTTTACGCTTGGAGCGTGGGACAACCAGGAGCCCCAGGTTAGTCGACCTGAGGGGCCTGGAGCTAGAATATGGGATAAGAAGGTCTGCAACTTAGGAGGGGCCCTGCCCATTTATCCAATCCAATCCAATCCAACCCAACTTTATTTATATAGCACTTTAAAACCTTCAGACCAAAGTGCTGTACAGAGAGATAAGCTCACAAAACATAAAATAAATACATTTAAAATAAAAGATACAAACACAAAACAAACCAGAATAAACATAATAATTAAAAAATAAAAGACAGCCATATGATAAAAACAATAGAGTAGACCACTGAAAGCAAATAAAAGCAACAATCTACTTGTTTCCGAATGCTAAGGAGAAGAGGTGGGTTTTAAGACGGGATTTAGAAACAGACAGTGTGGGCGCCTGTCTGATTAACAAGGGCAGGTCGTTCCACAGTTTAGGGGCGGCAGCAGAGAAATCAGGGTCCCCTCTGCGCTTAGACTTTGTTTTTGGCACCCTCAGGAGCAACTGATCAGCTGACCTGAGAGTCTGACCTGAGAGTGCGAGTCCAGTCTAGGGCGGGGCCAGGCCATTGAGGGCTTTAAAAGTAAATAAAAGAGTTTTAAAATGAATCCTCGAATTAACGGGCAGCCAGTGGAGTGAAGATAAAATGGGGGAAAATGTAGCTCGTGTTTGCGTGTTCCAGTTAGGAGCCGTGCTGCTGCATTTTGCACCATCTGCAGGCGAGCAAGGGANGTCAAAAACAGTGACAAGGGCTGCATCTCACTTCGGTTAAATGGATTCCTCCCTGGTGGGAGGGACTAGACGCAGGGAAACGACGCAAGTGAGGGAAGCAAGGAATCCATTTAACCGAAGTGAGATGCAGCCCTTGTCACTGTTTTTGACCCTTGACCTGTCCTCTTCCTGTTTGTGTCTCCCCAAATTCTCCTTTCCTTTTCTGCCTCCTGGATACTAGTCTCCCTCCAAATGGTACTGGAAGCTTGTACCTGTAAGTGCAACCGCTTAAAAAACTGCCTGTGGTAGTGTACGTATGTGTGTAGGAGGTGTGTGTGTGTGTGTTAAATCAGACCGAGCAAAAAGGAGCCAACAGTGCCCCTTGGTGGCAACGATAGGCACACCGGGCATTGTTACCATAATGCCTGGAGAGGAGTCCCATCATCCACACAGCTCGCACCATTTCATTCTTTCTTGCATCACTTCATTAACTTCCTCCCATTCATTTCTCTCCCTCCCCAGCCTGATATGTTGCATGCTCTGGCCAGCAGCTTATATGAGCCCGTGGAGTTCTCTCAAATGGTAATGTACTCACAATCAAACCTTTCCTTTAATTAATCCTCACCTTCATTATTTCCCCTTGTGTAATCACGCATCACATGCACCAGCTACTGAACCCTCCTTAGTCTAAGTGATCATACTTGATGGTGGTCATCCCTTATGAGTGATGACAGGGTGATGCACAATGTGATCCTCTCAAATATATTTGCAAAGGTCAAGCATCAGATTTCAGTTACAGAGACCTACTCCAGAGTATACGTTAAAGAAAAAACGTCCATATTTCTCCACCTGCACCCTGTTTCCCCAGAGCTGTTGAAAGAGATTACTGCAGCCTTTCCTCACCAATAATGTAAAACCACTAAAAGTTCTTGTTTTTGCCACTCAAAGGCTTAGATTTGTATAAGTGTCGGACAACATTATGGAAGGGATGTTTCTTTACCTTTAGCCTGAAAGCACTGTTTTATTTTGTTAACCATGTGTTGCTCAACGATTAATTCTCATTCTGAAATCTGGCATTACATCCACATTGTAAAACAAATCTAAATATTCAGCCACAACAATTGAAGATCTTTGAGATGTTTCCACTTTTGTCTTCCGTCAACATGTTACGGGACAATTTAAATAGATTGGATCAAATTCAAACCAGAATCAGAAATCCTTTATTTGTCCCGCACAAACAGCATTACAGCAAAGGTGAATCAAAAGGCAAAAGGCAAGTTAAAGCAAGCAAACGCTAATAAAAATAAAGACAATTAAGTACTGTACACATACATAGCAGCTTTTTAAAAAAAAAAAAAAAAGCTATTGAGATTGTATATAATGTATTTGTTGCACATACCAATGATAACAGCTGACTGTAGTAGCAGCCAGAATAACAACAGTAGCATGTAAAAGAAAGTAGCAGGAAAAGTTACATTAAAACATTTTATTTCACTTAAGGTTCCTTCTATAATGTTGTCAGATGCTTTACAATTGAAATGAATTTGAAAGTTTAAACAATAATCTGAGCCTGTTGACGTTGCGACATCACAGCCCCTCCAGAAGCTCCCAGCTTCAGCACTCCCGCTCGATACTGGACCAATTTCATAAATTGTCCCCCCCATTGCTCACTTAGACTGAAAGACATGGGAAATTATGGTTAAAATAAATACCGAAGAGACCCTTTAAAGGGAGCCAGTGGATGATTTGTGATGGATGTTTTGTTGGTGTGTGAGCATGTGAGTCCTGATTAGATGTATATGTGCACCTGGATAAAAATGCTCTCCTCTGGTGCAGGTGCGTTACCGTAGAGACCACCTGTCGGGGCGGACCCTGCAGCACTTCCCCCTGCTGGACGACCTGCTGAAGGACGTGAGTGACGGCACGGCGCTGCTGTCCGTCGTCCACTTCTACTGCCCGGAGCTCCTCAGGCTGGAAGGTGACCTGTGGAGATATGAGATATGAGACAATGAGCAAAAAACTGCTTTCTGCTCATTCTGTCTTTTTTGGTAGCTTTTCTTGGTTGTTTTGTTTCCCTCTAAAGATGCATCTCTTTGGAAGCTTTATATATGAGATATTAGATAAGATATACTTTATCTCAATTTTGGAATACAAAAAGAACGTTTGCATCTCTTTGTCATTATTCGGTTGCTTTTTGGCTGTTGTTTTTTCTTTTTAGGTGTTTTGTGTCTCTTTGTCTTTTTGTCTTGATTTCAGACCTTTCTCGTCTATATGGAAGTTTTCATTCACTAATAATATGAATACACTTTATTTATATCGCACCTTTCTTGTAAGATGCAGCCCAAGTGCTTTACAGATACATAAATCTGTAAAAACATAATTAAAAACAAGTTATAAACAAACAGCAAGAGTTAGATGACAGAACCATAAAACATGAACAAGTGATACAAGTAAAAATAACCCCAATTTTGGGGCCATAAAAACAGAAAGCAGCCTCCCCAGATTTCTTGTTTAATACTTTCAGTATTTCTTATGTAAAGTCTTGTACATTTTTAAAAGCACTTTAAAATAAATTCTGCACAGGGGAAATGTGATCCCTTTTTTTGTGTTTGTTAAAATCCTGGCCAAAGCATTCTGAATTAATAGCAATTTATTTAAAGATTTTTCCGGGACACCAGTAAAAAGAAAGTTCCAGTAGTTCAAGCGACTTTTATTAAAAGCATGTAAATCCATTTCAGCAGCATTCTGAGTTCAAAATCATCCTGGCGATGTTCCTTAAGTGGAAAAATGAAGTTTTTGCAACCTTATTTTTGCAAAATGACTCCCAGGTTGGAAACTTGTGTTTTAATATATTTGGACATGCTGGAAAACACTGACTCTACTCTCTGCCGTTCTACAATCTAATCTGTGCAAGTGACTGTAGAACAGATACCACTCACATGTCTAAAGCTAGATCCAGGAGAATGTAAGCTTTAAGACAGGAAGCCTGGGTTACTCAAAGTCTTAAAGTGGACCTATCATGCTATTTTTAGGCAATATCATAGGTCTCAGATATATAAAAATATATAAAAGAACATGTCTATGAAGTTTTTTGCTCAAAATACCAAACCGATTGCCCATTCTAGCCATGCCTCATATCCCTCAATTTCACTTCCTGTTTCAAAAGTGCTGATTATAGGTATAAAGCTTTAAAATAGTGCCGTGGGTCCACATTTCCGATATTACGTCATATCGGACGCAAATCTGGATCAGCTCCGTTGTAAAAGAGGGACACATCTTTATGTATAAAAGACATCAAAAAGTGCATTTTGCATGATTGGTCCCCTTTAAGTTAACAGCCGATTGGCACCTTTAAAATTAACTTATTAAATGGTAAATGGACTGTACTTATATAGCACTTTATCCAGTCTTCAAGACCCCTCAAAGCGCTTTACATACTACATGTCATTCACCCATTCACACCCATTCATACAGAGCAGTGTACCTTACTCTAGGACCTAACATTCACACACATTCACACACCGTTGGCCATGCCATCGGGAGCAACTCAGGGTTAAGTATCTTGCCCAAGGATACATCGACATGTTGACATTTTTTCCTATTTAGCATACACATATGAGTGCTCTTAGTCTTATCTTATCAAACATTTTTTAAGCATCTCACTTAAGAAATAGGTTTTAAAAAGTCTTGATATAGCATTTAACTTTAACATGATATCGTTTGAGCCTGGGATTATGTACCATTGTTGTCCTGTGTGCAGATATCTGTCTGAAGGAGGTCCCCTCCATAGCAGACAGTGTGTACAACATCCAGCTGCTGCAGGAGTTCTCTAACGAGTACCTGAACAGGTGCTTCTATCTGAAGCCTGAGGACATGCTGTATTCTCCACCAGTGCTAAAGGTGAGCTCAAAGAAAATTAACAATAAATAAAAGCAGGTTTCTTTAATTTCTTCCTAATGTGATCTCTGTGCGTTGCAGAACAACGTGATGGTCTTCATCGCTGAGCTCTTCTGGTGGTTTGAGAGTGTGAAGCCAGACTTTGTACAGCCTAGGGACCTTCATGAGTTCAGAGACGGTATAACACACACTCTACTTCCATATACCGGTTTCTTATTCATCAAACTGCTACTGGCTCTTTTAACACTAGAACTGCCAGGGGTCGCTGTATACATAAAACCTCCAACGGGCAAAATGTACCCGCTATTAGAATGCATTGATTTTCAAGGTACAATGTTCTTTTATTTATCATACTAGAACACAGGGTTAACAGTGAGTTTTGATCGCACAGTGATGAAACTTATACCAGTATAATCTGTGGATAGATAGCATGAAGTATAAAATATCGCTAAAAGCGTCTCACTCTCTATCTATCTATCTCTCTATCTATAAGGAACCGCAGTAAACAACCACAGGCGTTGCTATAGCAACACGTCATGTTTATGTTTACATGTGAGATCAATAGCGCAAGAATCACTGCATTTTCTATAAGGTAAATATTACCCGCTGGCGCTGATGGGTATATAAATGGCAATTCTTGTTGGCCATTTTTTTCAATCTGACTTCATATTGACAATTTTTAACAACAGAGGGTGCTACATAACACACTTTCAGGAAAAGTCACGGACTGGGAGACTCCAATATTTTATTGTAAAAAAAGTTACATACAATCAAGAAACAGCTGCGGGTAAAATGTACCCATTGGTGGTTCTAGTGTTAAAGATTGCATCGTATGTTATAGGTATTTTTCTAACGGTTCCCTTGCTATTATTTTCCAGTGCGATTGCTCCTGCAGCCCAAGAGTTCAAGATCTAATATTCCCATCTCTAACGTCACCAAACGTAGTTTCCTGACAACATCGAACTCTGCTGACATGTTGACCACGTCCCTGAGCCCCGACCTCAGGTAACACCCAAAGGCAGTTTTTTCACGTGATATAAAACACACATAATTTAAGGAGTTAGGCGTCCCGTATATTTTAACGTTGTCAATCTCATGGTTATAATTTAAAACATACGATAGAACACAGTACCTATCATGCAAAAGGCACTTTTTGATGTCTTGTATACATAAATATGTGTCCCCGGTGTGTCAGGGAACTCACGCAGCATCAGAAAATAAAACCCTCGCTCCTATCCTCCGTACACAAATCTCTAAAAACAGGGCTACAATGGAGCTGATTCAGATTTGCGTCCGATATGACGTAATATCAGAAATGTAGGCTGGCTTTACGCCCACGGCCCAATCAGAAACGTTGCCATCAGAAACAATGCCCGACTGTTTGGGACGTAATATGGTCAGTGTTTACATTAGCATCGCTAACACTCAGAGCTAACCTGTACTGGAGAGCATGTGTGTGAAGAAGCAGGAAATAAAAAGGAACTCACCTTGTGGTATAACCGGCAAGAGAGAAAGCCTTTGAGCTCCATACTGTTTCAGAGATAATCCTTGATAATCCATGATATGGTGTTTCATCACGGCAGTATTTAGTTTAGACAGTAGCCGCCGGGTCCGGCATGAGCTCAGACCCCTCCTCTTTTTTTTTTTTTTTAAAGCTTTATACCCAAAATCAGCACTTTTGAAACAGGAAGTGAAATAGAGGGATATGAGGCATGGCTAGAATGGGTGATCTGTTTGGTATTTTGAGCAAAACACTTCATAGACATGTTTTTTATATATCTGAGACCTATGCTATTTCCTAAAAATAGCATGATAGGTCCACTTTAAAGGATTTAATGCATACTTCACAACTTAATATGGTAAAAGTCACAGCCTTGAACAATCTTTGCTTGTGATGTACATTAAAATCCGTAAAAAAAGTTATTTTATTTTTCTTACTCTAAGACAAAAACATTTTGGCCAAATAAAGAGTATATTAGCACAGATCACGCATCTGCCCTTAAAGTACATAGTAGCATATTTCCTAATATTTATGTTATTATATAAATCAGACTACCATTAGCTTTGGATACACACCATCAGAGTTTTGTCTTTTTCTTGATACTGAAATGTTTTTTAGAAGCAACATTAATAAACCCCAACCCTCTCTTTATTTCCATTCCAGCACTAAACCAACGTCCCTAAGCCCGTCTCACTGTCTCCTGCCCCTGAGACAGAGACAACAGAAGGTGGCTGACGAGAGCTCTTCAGGTAATTCATTACATATTTATTTACCGCCTCTAGTCACAAAGGAACTTCTTCAAACAGAGAAAAGGGAGCGGGAAGATAGAGGGCAGGAAGAGTGTTCTTTTATCCTTCCTTATTTGAATGTCCTTATCTAACAAACAAAAAAAAAAGGGGTTTGATGAGTAGTTAATTAAACCATTTCATTGAATCAACAATAAAAAGAGTTGTAACATGCCAAACCAGTACATTTATTTGTAATCTACAATGGTGTATTAGGTCTATTGTAAGAAAGGGGCTAAAATTCAGAAAAGTCCTCAATTTACCCAATTAAAGTCGTAATTCTTCTATAAGAAAATCTTGGGTATTGAGATAGAAATGTGTGAGTAAAGACACATGCATTAATGATCAACCTCATAGCACCGAAGATTTTCTCATACAATCTAAACAAATATAATTTTTTGGTCCTAAACCTGACACTTTAATCTCAGAGAATATAATCATTTTATTTTGAAATATATGACTGTTATCTCAGAGAATAGCCACTTTTTTCTTTTACTTTTACAACTGTTATTCAAGAGAATATCGCAGTATTTTTTCTGTAAAATTTCAAATTAAACTAAAAGAAAAACAAAGGGTTCTTTTTCTAAATAATAATCCCCTGCCTGTGCTCTCTAATACTCTTTTTTTTTTTCTTTTTTTTTTTTTTACCTACAATGGCCCTAATACACATCATATATATCAGATTGTCCCAGGTGTAGATTATCAAACTTTGTCCACAATGAATGTTACATGTTTTTGGAGTTTTTGTTTGTAATCTGCATCATCTTGTCTTTGAACAGTGCTGAGAAACAGGTCCAACTCTCTGACACCGGACGGGCAGAACCAGGGCTCCATCCTGGCCTGGCCCGACAGGAGGGGGAGGTGAGGGGTGTCATTACAACGTTTTACAAATACTTATTTCAATTTATAGCAGGTACAGATATAACAGCAAATTGTTTCATGCTTCATGTTTCTGTAGTATATTTCTATTTCTGTTGCTTGGTGAAATTGTAAAATGCCTATTTGAAAAATAATTGTCCACAGTAGAGGTAATCATCAATGGTCGCAACACTGTTCATGGTAGTCACGATCAGCCCACTGAGAGTACAAATATGGCCACATTCTGGTTAAAACTGCCATTTTTGATCCTGAAAATGTCGGAAATGTATTCAGCATCCTCAATAACCCCCAAAACTAAAACAACATTGTAAAAATTGGACTTGTCACTTATAAACTGTTGTTTACATGTGTTATATTGCCATTCATTTGAATTAATGCAATTTATGTTAATTGTGCAAATTGCCCAACAAAAGCAAGTGAGCATCCGGCAGTTTCTATGTGCTGGGGACCCTACTATACATGTATATATCATAAAACTTTGGGCTACTCAACATTTCCGGGTTCACAATGCTGGCAGCACTGTAATGTAAATGTATTTTCTACTGTGAATATACTGTATATATATATATATGCGGTTAATGTTAATTTGTATTTGTTATATATTTGTATCTTATTCTATCTTTTAAATATTTGTAACTTAATTTTCCACAATTTGGGATGATCTCTATCTATCTTCATGAAATCTCACATTATTCACACTATGCTCTCCCTGCAGGCCTCTCTCCGTGCAGGCTCCCTACGCCCTGCACTACCCTCTGGAGGAAGACGCTGACAGCATCAGCCTCGCCCGCTCCATCAGCAAAGACAGCCTGGCCTCTAACATCCTGAGCACCCCCAAACACATGCTGGGCCCCCAACACAGACTCAGCGGCCAAAGCCTGCTCAGCCACATGCGCATAGAGGACGAAGAGGAGGAAATAGAAGAGGGAGAGCTGGTTGCTGTCACCCACCCTTCTGCATTGTCTCGCCGTCGCCTTGGGAGTGACATGGAGCAGGACGAGCTGGAGATCCCGAGTGCAGCGTCCACCTCCAGGGTTTTGAATACTCGTTGTTCTCCCTTTACACCCGAGCGCCCGACAGACAGTTACTATCTGGAGCCTTTGATGCCTACCACCCCTAAGCCAGCCAAAGAGAAGAGCATCAGCTTGAATAAAGAGGAGGAGAGCGGGGAGAGTCGCTTCAGAGCTGCTAGGAAAGAAGCAAGCAGCATTCCACAGAGGAAAACCCCAACACCTGAGTCCAACAGAGGCATCTTCACACCCATACAGCTGGCAGAGTCAGGGAGAATCAGGCCACCCACAGAGGGGTCTGCAGTCACCCCTCAGTCTGAGAAGAAACTCTCCCCAGGCTTTTTCCTACATATGTCAGGAGAGCCAGACCCCCACTGCCCTCTCCCCTCTGCGCTGGATGTCAGAGACGACTCGGACTCTGACATCGCAGACCTGGAGGAAGACGAGGAGGACGAGGATCTGACTAAAGAGGTGGTGAAGAGAGCACAGGGGATGTACTTGCAGGAGGGAGAGGTGTGTAAGTTTAGGGAGTTAGAGTGTGAGTCGGCCAAGCTGAGAGAGGACTCGAAGGTGAGCGAGCGGGACGATAAGGAGGGGGGCAGCGGGCGCTCCAGCCCCTGCCTCAGCACCGCGTCCTGGGCCAGCAGCGCGTCAGGCAGTGCCAGCGTCAAGATGACCAGCTTCGCCGAGAGGAAGCTCCTCAAACTGGGGCTCCGCGAGGAATTCTCGAGCCCCAGCAGCTCTCAGAAGACCACCCCGGACGGGTCTGAGGTCTCGCCTTGCCCCCCCTGGCAACTGAGGAGCGACTACACCTCCGGCTGGCTCGCCAAGGAGCCCAGATCTTTGCTGGGAAAGAACCTGGCGTTGAGTCCCCCCGTAGTGCCTTCAGAGCTGCTGCAGCTTCACATGCAGCTGGAGGAGCAGAGGCGAGCCATCGAGCACCAGAAGAAGAAGATGGAGACGCTGTCGGCACGGCAACGGCTGAAGCTCGGGAAGGCTGCGTTCTTGAACATTGTTAAGAAGGGAGGAGAGAAGAGCGACACACTTCCTCTGCCCCTAAAACAATCCTCAGAAACAGCTGACAGGGGTAAAATGAAAGCCCTGTTGTGTAAGGACGACTCCTGTCTTGATGCTCTGAAGGCGAGGGAAACACAGGGAGGACAGATGAGAAAGAACCGGTTGAACACCCTGTCCCAGGATAACGTGGCAGAACCGGACCTGAATGAGTGCTCCCACTCCATAGACCTCCTCAACGACGCCATCAGCTCCATCCAGCAGCAGATGATGCAGCTGTCTCTGCAGCAGAACCTGCTGATGAAGCGCGTGGTTTCACCTGCAGAAAAAACAATGAATCGTGCAGTTTCTCCTCCAGAGCCGCTGAGGAAAGACGCCTCCTCGCCTGCAGAACAGGAAGAATCGAGCACTAGCACAACCCCCATCACGACCCCCACCACGACACAATCCACACCCTCTGCCTCGGACCCCAGGTCTTTTGCAGTTCACTTCGTAGAGATCAGTGGCAGCAGCTCCACTCCGTCCCGCCGGCCGCCTAAACTCAGCTCAAGCCAGCGCAACAAAGCCTCGGAGCAAAAACAAAACAGAGAGAACAGCAAGGCGGCTTCTGTCAAGCCTATTACTCAGCCCCCGGGAGGCAGAGAAGATTCAGGGAGACTCCAGGAGAAGAGTGTTGAGGAGAAACCCAGGCCGGAGAGAAGCATCCGGAGAAACAAAACCTTCAGAGTGGGCGATGACCCTGAGCCGCGCAGCAGCGAGGAGGACAATAACTGCTTCTTTGACTGTTCCTCAGCGTTTCCCTCACCAGAACTAGAGAACAAAGTCACCAACTCAGGGAAAGAGGCAGCAGATAGGGAGGAGGCCGCCAGGGTCAAAGGTCAGCTGATGGAGGTGGACCTATCTGAGCTTAAGGATCGGCTGGAGGATGTCAGTGCAGACGTCACAGAGTGCACTGCAGAGGGAGAGCAGAAGAATACGCTCGGTTACTTCTTCAAGGTAATATTGGGTTTCTGGATTATACTAGACATTTTTCTTTACAATGGTTGTGTGTTAAATATGTACAAAAGTGGTGGGGCATAACACACGTAGATGTTTATAAGCTTCTGCAGTGAGGTGCAGTGAGGTTCATGGCTGGTGAGGCACTGGCACTGACTCTTCAGGTTTACAAATATTATATTTTGACCTAAATCAAAATATTCTATTATTTTCAAAAGCTTCGATTAATTTTAAACAGAAAATGTAATTGTATCATTTACATATTGAATTGTTCTCTCTTAGTAAGATCCCTTTCTCAATAAAATGGTGGTCTTACATTGACTTGAAGATGAAGTCCATGTTATCCTTCTGGACAAAAATCTCTATTACTTTTTTGTAAAAGTCCTCCTTATCTTCTTGTAGTTTCAAAAGTCGAATCATAAATCTAATCGATAGATTTATATTTAAAATTATAAAAGTAGGGTAGACATGTGGATATTATCCGGCTGAACAAAACGTGAATTTATCTAACAGGTACGTTTCCCACAGATCTTATTTTGAGCTATTTTCTAAAATCCTATGGAGAAATCTCATTGCTATTTGTGGAGGGAACCCGAGCGCAGCTTACTTCCTGGTTTTGGGACGCGTCTCTCTCCCCCTCTTCACACACCACACTTTTTGCGGCACACGTACTTACAGCCAATCAGCTCTGAATGATGTGAGATGACGTATGGTGGGGATGGCAGCACTCTGCCCCTATGGTCATTATTTTTTTGCCACACAGATTAAGGCCCAATCCAATCCCAAACCACTCCCTCGACCCTACCCCTCCGTGACGGAGTGAACTCCGTCTGTAGCCACACTCGCAGCTCAACGAGGCTCCCTCCTGTCAGATGGAGGGAGTAAATACAGCAGCAAGCTTTGGGACGGCCTCCCCTCTCTCCGGCAGAAACATTACCCTATCTAACCGCCTCTATCCCTATCTAATCCTATCTATCTATCCCTACCTATTCTATCCCCTGATCCAATTGTCGGAGTGTATTGGATGTATACAAATTGAATCCTAGATGGCACAAATCAATCTTTTCCATCTTTACACATAAAATAATATTTCAGAACAGCTATTTATTATATGTTCTGAACACAGTTTTGTTGAACTTTCTTCGAATATTATCGTAGTCCCTAACATTTCTGCTTTTCGCAACTCTTGTGTTACTTTCTACAAACCCAATATAAACGTCAATAATAAATTGAAAAACGTATCCTCCACGACTAAACTTTGCAACATATAAGTTATGTCCAG